AAAACATTCCGGCAAGATTGCTAATTTGCTGGTCCCCCTTAATCCATGTTGGAGTAAGAGAGAGAATAAGTGGAGGAAATGCTTTGGTTGGGGCCGTTTGGTAGTGAGAAATAATTCACAGATCAATGACTGTTGCGGATTGCCATCTACTTCTCTTGGATCAAGTAATAGTTTGTGATAATTGTGATCAAGGTGGCTATAAAATTTATAATTTCATCGAAAACTTACGTTTTATTACTGAAAACCGATGTTAATTAACCAATTTATTATAGACTTCAAGCTCTATAAAAATAAAAATGATTTGTAAGCATGTGTGATGTGTTTAGTTGTGAGTGAGTGGCGAACATGGGACTTGTAGATCAGTAGTTTCAGGTTTGAAATTCGATACATTCTCAGTGTGAGAAAATTCGACTCCTTCAATATCGCTTATATTATAAAAAAAATTATAAAAAACAAAGGTGTGGTGAGTGAACTGACCTAACTACTTATGGATAAATGGGTCCTCCTTACATAAAGTCTGACACGTTATCCAATCAAATTAACATAGTTGGATAGGTGTGAGGTGAGAGAGAAATTGAAACAGGACAAACACTAATACAAGATGATTTTCAGGGAAAAGGAGATAAACCCTAAAAAGTTGAGGTGGGAACCAAATCCCTCCTTTTCTTCTTGACTAAGACAATTTATTATGGCCGGTGGTGGAGCTCGTTTGAATGGCAGTTGGAGCTTGGGGTTGTGTCGGCAAGAGTATATTCACCCCCAGATACTCACTCCCTAGTACAGCTCATCTATGGCTATGGCCCACAACATGTTATCCAAGATTTCTATTACAAGATTCAGAAATTCAACCAATAAAAGTGGGGGTAATTATGACTCAATAGGATCATCATGATCATCCTACAATCTGATGACTTCAAATGCAATCAAAACAAGCATGTGAAACACGAGATTGTCTTCCCTGAACAGTGAATGCAATCAAACCTTCTTTCAAAGAGACATGACATCCTTTTTAGTGTTGTTGTTGTGCTGTCGCGTTACGATTATTGGTCTTGTCCCTTTTTTTCTTTGTTGGTCGAAGGTCTTGCTGCTTATGTGGTCGAAATTGAACCTTTCATTCTATCTTCTTTGTACTTTTTCTTTTTCTGTCCCTTTCCCATTTTTTCAAGCTGTCTATAACAATTTTATTTTTCTACGTATCAGTTTATATTGTTGGTCTCCTAGACCCCAAAAAAAAAAAAAAAAAAGGTCTCCAAAATTATAATTAATTGTTGCACTGATAACAAAATTTGAAGAAAAGACGAGATAGCTTTATGTTCATTTTCTTTTTCTTCTTCATTGAAGCTTTTATATATGTGATTGATACCTACAAAACAAATAATTTGCTCATGTGGATGTTCATCTTGGAGACAGATGTTAGTTCCCATATGCTTGGTTTACCATTACCAATGAAAGAAAAGGAGAACAGAAATTATTCTGATTTTTTTATTAATTGTTTAGTGATCACTAATTCGCTACGTGTAATAACTAGTGCTTCACAAAACACATTGCAAGTAAAATATGAAGAAAACTAAACATTAGGATTTGAAATTGTAAAAAGCATGCCAATTAGGTCTAGTCCAGTAAAAAAAAAAGACCTTAATTTGTAGACTAGTAGTCTCAGGTTTGAATCTCTATGTCACTTTGGTAATGTGTGTGTGTGAGAATCCTTCTCACCCTTGTTGTTTAGAAGCGTAAGATAGTTTATAAATAGTTAAAGGGACAAATCAAATACGATATTTCTTACAAGTAATTGAAATATTATGATAATAATCAAACGGTTAAACGATTTCCGATTTAGTTATTTTATTTTATTTTTGTGAGGACATATAGTGTAAGGAGCAAAGATAATCTGATGAACCTAACATTATTATTATTATTATTATTATTATATTAATTTATAATGTATTCAGATACAGTTGACCTGTGAGGTTGTAGCAATTTCCACAAATTGAATTATACCAATTGAGCAATGCAGACTGCAGAGTTGATTTCCATGGGCTACACGGCAACCATGATCGTGTGGTCACGATATAGTGAAAGTGGCACATACAATTTGCGCCATAAGACTGCAGAGGAATGATGTTTATTTTCTTTGTGCGAATCACAATTTGACACATATGCAAATGTAGGAGTTCCTACTTACTTGGTGGAGGGAAGTGCTTTCCTTGCTCATAAGAGGAAATACTCCTTGTCTATTAATGTGGCCCAACCACTAACAGTTGTCTTTTTTTTTTTTTTTTTTTTTTTTTTTTTTTTTTTTTTTTTTTTTTTTTTTTTTTTTTTTTTTTTTTTTTTTTTTTTTTTTTTTTTTTTTTTTTTTTTTTTTTTTTTTTTTTTTTTTTTTTTTTTTTGGGTTTAATTCTCACTAGTGCATTTATTTTTCACTTTCATTGTTCTTAACTGAATTTTTTTTTTCCATGCCTCAGTCAGTTTTGTTTTTTTGTTTTTTATTTTTGTTTTTGTTTTTTAAAGTACAAGCAATAGTATAAATTAGAGGAGAGGAGGATTTCTCATAGACACACAACTATAATGTCGTGGGGATTCAAACATGAAACCTTTGGTTTGCTCGTCAAGACCCTTTTTTACTTGGCTAGACCCCACTAGCCAGTCGGTTCAAATTTTAAGACTTTTGGTTTTATTATCATTATGAACTTGTTCATTGTAATGTTGTATATTTAAACATTATGTTTGTGCATTTGGGAGGTAACTTCTCAGCCACTGGAGGCCTGCCCTTCACTGTTTTTGGTTCATTGTGGCCTTGCGCTTTTCTTTCAAAACTTGGGCAGTGACACATAAAAAAGAAAGGAACAGAACCAATGAAAGGATACAACATCCATCTCAGAATATGAAAATACCAACAAATGCTTCCACAGACAACAAAGTTTCTACGTTTGAACTCAGAGCTAACTTTTTGTTCAAACCAAACCAAAAAAGACGAGATAGCTTGATATCATTTTATCTTTCTTCTTGATTGAAGCTTCTATATATGTGATTGATACAACAAAAATGATTTGCTCATGTGGATGTTCTTCATCTTGGAGACGTTAGTTTATCCCATATGCTTGGTTTACCAATGAAAGAAAAAGAGAACAGAAATTACTCTGATTATTTTTTTATTAATCGTTTACTTATCACTGATTCGCTACATGTAATAATTAATACTTCACCAAACACATTACAAGTAAATATGAAGAATAACATATTTGAAAATTTTAAAAAGCATGCCAACGGCACACACAGACACAACTATGATGCCGTGGGGATTCACACCTAAGATCTCTCATATGCATCTCAAGACCTTTTTCCACTAGACTAGATCCCATTGGCAAGCAAGTTAGAAATAACCATATATGGATATTGAGTTTGAAGTTTGATGGACCTTTGGGATGTTGAGTTTTAGGATGGTTTTATATGCTAGAAAATGAAAAAGAAAAAAAAAACATATGTAGCAAGTTGTGAATTTTTTAAGTTGTAATGACTAACAATATTGAAAAAATGCAAAAGGAAAGAGAATTTAATATACTACGTCTCGTTTCTTCTCCAGATCTGCAATTCTCCTTGGCTCTAGGGGACCTCCCTTAGAACCACCCCCTTCGGTTAATAATTTGGGCCTCTCTCCCCCCCCATTATGTTATGGAGAGGTTTTCCCTTCCAACTTTTGTTGGGTTTTGTTTGCTCCTTGCTGTTGCAAAGGTTTGTTTATTCCCTTTTCTTGAGGGTTTGTTTCCCAGTCTTTTGGGGCTAGTTATTGGTTGATCTTGCTAGATCTGCTACTTGTGCAGCAAATCTAGTGTTAGATCTCTCTATACTAGAGGTGGAGCTGTTGAATTTGGTGGATCTACTTTTATTGTACTTGGGGATTAAGGGGAATTAGGAGATGCTGTGATATTCTTTGGAATATCCTTGTGGAAGTTGAGCGGTTATGCCCTCCACTCTTAGGGTGTTTCCTGTCCCATGAAGTTTGAGAGTTTGTTATCCATCTTGATCTTTTTTAAGCACTGGTTGCTGCAAAATTAGGGTCCTTCTCATCTGTAACTCCTTGTTAGCTGGGTTTCAAGTTGTATATTTGTTTTTTAACTATCTTGTAATACTTGTGCTTAGTTGGTGTTGTTACAGTCTGTATTGCAAGAACCTCCTTCCGGGGATGTGTTCTTATTGTTGTATCCTGGGTTTGTGTCTTGTTTCTTCAATTGAATTGCTATTGTTTCGGAAAAAAAAAATAAAAAAAATAAAAAAATAATAAAGAAAGAGAATTGAACATAAGCCCAAACCATCTTAAATTGGTTTGATTTGATTCGGTTTTCTTCGTGATTTTGGACTAAACCAATTATACTTAGTTCGGCCTCTGTTTCAGACCCCAAAACAGAAACCGTACAATTTTCTAAAAGTGGACACATAGTCAGTCCACTACGGCACTACTTTCCAAAGATCGTAGAACAATCTGTAGCTTAGAGAAAAAGGAAGATTTGAAAACCAAATAGTCTGGTTAAGTAGTAAACTGGCTCAATTGAGCTAAAGCATCCACTGCAAAAAAAAACTTCTCTGAAAATATGCTGAACTTGTTGAACTGTTATTGCACTATTACTATTTTAGTCATCATGCGTTATATATTACATTATGGTAAACATATCATCTATGTCATTGTGATTGAATATATAATACAATGCTAATTTTCTGTTAGATTTAAAGGTTTTTTAGGTTTTAGACATAAAAAAATTTTCACTTTTGGAAAAAGCCAAAGCTTTTTCAAAAAAGACAAAAAAACCAGTCAACTTTCAAATCAAAGACATGCAAATGTATTGGATTCCTTAGGAAATCTAAAAATAAATAAGGGCATTTTTGTCCATTTTTGCTTTTAAAAATTTTCTCTCTCCTTTTGCTTTTTCCAAAATGTAACCAATATTTAGGGTAAATATGATTTTTCATAATTAATAAATAAAAAGAGGGTTAAAATAAATACAAAATTAGAACAAACTGAAGGAAAAAATAATTTCACGACACCCAAACCCAACACCCAAATATGGCTATTCATAACCCGGAGTTGATGTCCCAGATATCAAACGAGAGTTTTCCCGGAGTAAATCAACTCTAGCATCACCAATGTAATAAGTCAACCTTTCGGTTGCCTTGTCTCCATTGAAGTTTATATCTGACCTCAAAAGTGAAAGAGTTGAAATCGGCTGCTGATATTACCTTGAGGGTTGCAGCTGAAGGTTATAGTACTTGCTCAAGACACTCCGTCAGAATACTCAGCACTACTGAGTTTTGGACATTAAGTCCTGAGTGGTAGAATGGGAGAAAAATGGTTAGGATACAGTTCATGGTCCAAATTTGAAAAAGGTCCTTCTCTTCAAAGTTACCAGCAAAAAGTACATAAGGAATAAAAATCCAGATTTAAGTATTAATATACTAGAAAAACTCAAAAAAATTATGTAGAAGAATAAGCTTTTTCCCAAATAAAAAATAACAGATCATATTATGAGGGAGCTAAAATCAAAAGAAGTTTAGCCTTCTGGGTTCTTTCTGATGATATGTGAAAGTTTGGATTAATAAATAATAGGTTTTCATGAATTTACCTCCTAAGCATAGTCCATATACATAAGTTAGGCCACATCTCCTACAAGAGCAGATAAACCGATACGTTGATCATAACTCTGACTGCCCCATTGCCTGGAGGTAATAAATTAATAGGAAAATTTAGGATAAGAAAGAAAGAAACTAATTGATCCAACTAAAATCATGTATCCCAAGGCAGATTAATCCAACTTCCCTATGACAGCATGGTGACTTCCATGTTCGCAACTATTGCCAAGTCGTTTGCGAATTCTGCTAAACAAATCGATCAAGCGTAACTGCATATGCATCCACTGTAACATTTCTGTTTTTCCATCCCCTGTAATATTTCAAGAACTATTAAAAATAACTTCTTTATCTAGACAAATTTCAAGTCAGAACAAATGGATGCAGAGCTGAACTGAAATAAAAGCAATCAAATGGAAATCTTTTGGAGGAAACAGTCATAAAATTAAGATGTGAAACAATTGCAGTTCCAAATTCTGGGATAGATATACATCAGCATAGTTTGTCCACCAACTACTTCTAAGTAGCAAAAATCAGAAGCAAAGGTTAATTTTTATACCTCTATGATAAGCAGAACTACTGTTTATTATTTTCCGCTGCCGCCACAACTTTCTTCAAGATAGCTTCAATTGGTTGATGGGAGTTCTCCACGGCCTTTGAAATAGGTTGCCATTTTTCTCCATGCTTTGGCCCTGCAGCAACGCATCTGTTCGATACATCTTTTTGGTTCTCCTCAGTACCATGCTGAAGTTCAAATTTGTAGTATAAAGCCCAAAAATCCCCAATATCGTGGGCAAGCATTACTGCCATGTTGAGCCAATTCCTAGCTTTGTCCAACTTCCTGTCATGCCATAATAACTTGGCCACAGCAGCAACAACATGGGGATCATGATGACATTTCTCAAGGGCATCTTTACTCTTTGCCTTCCGTTGGGGACGAGCTACCATCTCGAGGGCTGCTGCCCACAAGATACCACTATTGGGACACTCCTGCAAAGCCTTTGCCATCAAAATATCAGATTCTTTCTTCTTGCCATGCCTCAATTCAGCTCGAACAGAAGCAAGCCACAGTTCAGGGTTCTGAGGGTTCTTCCTGGCAATTGTGAGAACTGCGCGAGCTTTACTCAGCCCAATCATTTTCTCCTCTAGATTAGCGAGAGAAAGCCAGAGTTGTAGAGAATTGGGGCAGTGCTTCAGACCTGAGTGATAGGCCTTTTTGGCTTTTTCCAAATGATCAAGCCGTTCCCCTAGCTGTCCAAGCATTAACCACAATTTAAAGAATGAAGGGAAGCGCTTCAAGCCTTCAACAAGAAACTTCCTCTCCTCATCAATGTTCCCTAATTCCCTCTCAACAATTGCAGATTTCATCCATACTCTTTTCGTTACCTCCCCTTTCTCGGGCTTTGGCAAGAAGCATCTTAGCTCTCTCGGATTCGTGATTCTCAAACTCAAGTTTAAACGCAGCAAGCCAAATTTCTTGAGAGTTGGGAATGGCAGCATAAGCTTCTTGGAGGATTGCACGGGCAGCAGGCACGTCCCCTGCAAGCCAGTTCTCCCTAGTACCATGGCTCTTTTCAAGCTGAGCCGCTTTCCTCCATATGCTCTTCTTGGTTAAAAAGACAGTAAGTGCATGCGCATAAATTGCTCGGGCTGTTTCAATGGAACCTTTTTTCATGAAGTCCTCTGCATCAGAAACCCATGTCCTCTTCCTATCTTCCTCCTCCACACCAATCCCAATTGCGCTCCGAATGATAGCTTGGCAAGTCATTATAGACCCTGCACGTTCAGCAGCTTCAGCCTCTTTCATCCATGCTTCTCTATCGATAATAACCGCTGTTTTTTGCAAAGCCCTTATACCTCTTTCAATAATCCTCCCAACCATGGACATATTCCCATTAGCTTCTTCCAACTTTGCGGCGGTGATCCAAATTGCAGGCTCCTCCGATAGATTCTCCCTTGCCTTATTGAGGACCTTCTTGGCGTTCTCATAAGTTTCCAATCTTGTGAGTGCAAGCCAGAATTCAATGTGCAATGGACAACACTCCACAGCCCTTTTGAGCAAACTTCTAGCATCCTCCTCATGCGCTAGATCCACGACCGCCTTCCACAGCCTAACAAGTCAGGAATGTGTTCCAACCCTTTCCTCAAGACCCTGCTCTTGTTCAAATCATCACGCTCCAATTTCGCAGCCTCCATCCACAAGTTGACTGAATTGGGAATAAATTTAACTCCCTTAGCAATAACAGCCTTAGCATCTTTTGGGGTAGCAAGCCTACAAGCCTCCAACCACACATCCTCACTCTTAGGACACTCATCACACCCTTCCTGAATCAATTTCCTGGCTGGCTTCATCTTTCCTGCCACTTCCTCAAACCTTGCTGCCGAAATCCACACACGTGGGTTCTTAGGATTTAACTTCATTAAACTCGTCATCAACAATCTAGCCTTGTTTTTATCATGAACGTCTGTATCACTTGTGATGCTCATACTTTTAAGATCAGTAAGACACCCTTTTGGGTCAACAACTGTCAACCCCGAGACAGAATCCGAAATCCTATCCAATTTCAAAGACAACACTATATCTCTGCCCTTCCTCACGACAGTCAAATCTGTACTAATGGGATCTATTGCAGTAACAAGCTCTTTCTCCTGCGTTGCCTTCTCCAAAAGGGTATCCGGCATCGGCACAAAGCTCTCAAACCTCCTCTTCTTGTTTCTCATTGAATAATCCCCAATTTCAGGTATACTCTCCCATTCTTGGGCAGACAATGTGTGCAAATTCCTCTTCAAACTTGCAAACTGCTCTGTAATCTTGGGATTGGAAGCTCTGTACTTTTCAATCTCTTCTCTCAACAGAGCCTCTCTCCTGTCCTTTCTCCTGGAGTCCATTCTCTCATCAACTGCTTTCCACATTGCATCAGCCTTCTCATCATCTTCATCCAGTTTGGCATCTGGTGCCAACAACCCAACATCATTGCCTTCAAAATCATCAAATTGCTGATTCTCATCGTACCCTTTTTCCTCCCCTGCTTCCTCAAGCTGCCCAATTGCCCTATCGGGCAGCTCGGGGGCTGATCGGGCAGGCCCAATGTCGGACCTTGTGGTGAACCCAGAAGCACCACGGCCAAGCCCAGCGACATAACCCTCAGGAGGCTTGGAATTGATGAAATCAAGGCGGGGTTTGGGATTTTTGTGGGGTAGGGTGCCACCGAAGAAGGGGACGTGGAGGGTTAGGGTAGAGTAGGGTTTGATGCCAAGGTCGGCGAGGAGGGTGGAGACTCTTTGGGTCAACAATTGGAGGCTTTGGGAGATGAATAGGCGCTGGTGAGAGATGGGTACGTTGGAAATTTGTTCAATTTGGAATTTCAGAGCTTGGATGGTGGTGGCGTTTGGGTTTAGGTTTAGGGTTAGGGTTTTGTGGTTGGGGGATGCGATGAACACCATTGCTGTGATTCTGTGATTATTGCAAGTATTTGTATCTTGAAAACTCACTCTGCTCTCCAACAGTTTGCTGCAAACCTGCAATGAAGGGCAAAGTTTGTGATGTGAGGCGTGAGATTAATATATAGAAAGACATTTGGGTTTCCTTGACGGAATAGGAATAGGAATAGGACTAGGATTATTAATAGGCTTGAAGTTGGTTTTGTGCGGTCTTTTTCTTCCCAAGTGAGAGAGGAGACGGAAAACGCGCTCGGTAGACCAAAGATGAAAACACGGAAATGGTTTTCCGGCGTAAGAGATTTTTCTTCCGAACCTCCTCTTTTTCATTGATTTATCATGCCCAGCTTGTAGATTCATAAATATTTGATAGTAGCAAAGTACTCAATAAACAAAACCAGCTAGAATTACTCAACATACTTTCTCTCACATCAATCTATCAGATTCAGACACAGTGCCCACAATCACGTTTGCCAATTGACCTCCCACTTGAAAGACATGTGCGGGAGCAAATATTTTCGTCTAGAATCACAGCATGTTATGTGGAAAAGAAGATTATTTTTTAAATTAATTAATTGAACCGGTTTATTTGGTCAATTAATTAATAGGGATAAAAATCTTAATTAATATGATATTATCTTTACTTAATAAGATAATATCATTAATTCAGATATTATCTTCATAAAAAGAGATAATATCATTTAATTTATATATTGTCAAGTCCGACTCGATCCCTACGAATTTGGGTAGAGAATAAAGTCATTATATTATTTATGAAACCCTAGCGCCGAGTCTCCTAAATAGACGACTTCATTCATCATTCGAGGAACATCTAAACCTACTCCTAATACCCGAAGCTCTCTCTCCCTCTCCACTCTCCATATTTTCTCCACACGGCTCCGGCCACCATACACTGCTCCGGCTGCCCGGTTCACACCATACATACAAGACAATGTTTTGACATTCGCACATTAGCATGCTTGTGGTGGTCATTTTGGGGGAAAACGGACAGCAGCTAAAATATTACAAAGTGGGTTGTATTGGCCTACTATTTTTAAAGATGCTCATGTTTGGTGCCAGGCGTGTGATAGATGTCAACGTGTGGGCAATCAGTCAAAGCGGAATGAAATGCCACAGCAAAGTATTTTGGTTGTTGAATTATTCGATGTTTGGGGCATTGACTTTATGGGACCATTCCCGTCATCCCATGGCAATCAGTACATATTGGTGGCTGTTGAATATGTTTCTAAGTGGGTCGAGGCTGTTGCAGCACCAACAAATCAAGGATCTGTGGTACTGAAATTCCTCCAAGGCACTATTTTTCCACGTTTCGGGACACCTAGGGCGATTATCAGTGATGGGGGAAAGCACTTTTTAAATAAACAGTTTGCTGCACTACTCACTAAATATGGGATAAGTCATCGGGTGGCCACTGCATACCATCCTCAAACTTCTGGGCAAGTTGAAGTTTCTAATAGGGAAATTAAGCGCATCTTAGAGAAAACAGTCAATGCCAGCCGCAAAGACTGGAGTGTTAAGTTGAATGATGCTTTATGGGCCTACAGAACAGCGTATAAAACGCCAATTGGGATGTCCCCCTTTCGGCTTGTTTATGGTAAAGCTTGTCATCTACCTATGGAGCTTGAACACAAGGCTTATTGGGCAATTAAGGAGCTAAATTATGCCTATGATGCAGCTGGAGAAAAAAGAAAATTACAGTTGCACGAGTTGGAAGAACTCCGGAATGACGCATATGAAAGTTCAAAGATATACAAAGAGAAAACAAAAGCATTCCATGACAGTAAAATTCTCCGAAAACAGTTTCAGCCAGGTCAGAAAGTTCTATTTTTCAATTCAAGGTTGAAGTTATTCCCTGGAAAATTAAAATCTAGGTGGTAGGGTCCTTACAATGTTACTAAAGTCTATCCACACGGCGCTATGGATATTACAAATGGGAAGACCGGTTTCGAGTTTAAAGTAAACGGTCATAGACTCAAACACTACTTGGAGGCGCCGTTTGACAGTGCAACCGAGTCGGTGACTCTGAAGGAACCGGTGATTTGACCACCAGGCTTCTGCAAAGTCTAGCTACAGACTTAAAATAAAGCGCTCATTGGGAGGCAACCCAATTTTTCTAAACTCTCTAATCCTTTTAATTTCAACAAAATAATAAAATTTAAAATTTAAAAAAAAAGAACCGGTGATTTGACCACCAGGCTTCTGCAAGGCAACCCAATTTTTCTAAACTCTTTAATCCTTTTAATTTCAACAAAATAATAAAAATTAAAATAATTTTTTTGTTGTTGTTGTTTTCTTTAACTAGATGTTTTTTTTTTTTTTTCTTTCTACTCTTACCACATCATTGATCCAATGCAGGGCACAACAATCAGCAGCACACATCAAAAGCAAAAAAAA